GTAGTTGATGGCTTGTCCCATCGCATAAATACCTTCCTAATAGAACGTAGTTGAAGGACTTCCCCCATCGCATAAATACCTTCCACGTAGAACGTAGTTGATGGCTTGTCTCATTGTATAAATACTTTCCTGATAGATCATATTTCAAGGTCTTGCCCCTTCGCATAAATACCTGCCTCGTAGAACGTAGTTGAAGGACTTCTCCCGTCGCATAAATACCTTCCACGTAGAACGTAGTTGATGGCTTGTCTCATTGTATAAATACTTTCCTGGTAGATCATATTTCAAGGTCTTGCCCCTTCGCATAAATACCTGCCTCGTAGAACGTAGTTGAAGGACTTCTCCCATCGCATAAATACCTTCCACGTAGAATACAGTTGAAGGAGTTGTCTTTAATTTCATAGCCCAGCTAGGGTCAATAACCCTTTTATTAAATACACATCTATCTCTTGTATTCATCGAAGCCCATATCTGCTAATTTTATTTTCAAATCAGTAACGAAAACAAAGTAATTTTGAAGTAATTAAAGGATTGTATTAATGGATATATACATACACCTTTGTGCAAATTAATTGAAACAAAACGAATAATTCCTTTATTTATTTTTTTTATTTTCCAATGAGACATGACCCAGTGCACTTGTTAGTACAGTGTAACCCGGATATAAGAGACCCGGATATAAGAGAAACCCGGATATAAGAGATATTTTCTCTGGTCCCAAATTAGAGCCTGTGTTAATGTATATAAAATAGACCAAACCCGGGTATAAGAGATTTTCTCTGGTCCCAAATTAGAGCCTGTGTTAATGTATATAAAATAGACCAAACCAGGATATAAGATAAACCCGGATATAAGAGATTTCTTCTCCAGTCCCGACAACTCTATTATATCCGGGTTACACTGTGTTTCGTATGTCCATTCCATGGATGACGCAATATTTTTCAAGGCCAAGCAAATTTCATTATACATCCCAAAAGTAGATTCATATTACTGCACACGACTACAAATGATCTGAGAAAAAAAAAAAAAAAAAAAAGAAATCGCTTACACCCTGTCACTCCAGTGGGTCTAAAACTGACCATTTGGTGAAAGATAGAAAACTAACTCGGTTGTTTCAGTTAATTTGCGCAAGGGTGTATATGGTTGCTGCCATCTTCGATGTGATGCCAACTACGCATGCGCTTACTAATAAATTGTTTTTATGGCTTTGAGTTGTGCTTACAGCATTCACGGTGTCTAATTCCGGTCAATTTACGCATAACTGTAACTAACTTTTCGGTTATTTGTCGTATAAAAATTTTAATTATTCCATGATTGAGTAAATTGTCGGGTTACTATGCTTCCATTGTATGTCTCAGATCAAGGTGCATTACAGTTCATCGTTGCGTTGTTTTCTTCCCAAGGAACACAAGAGCATTTTTAAAAAAATATGCCACCGTTCATATTGACTTTCGCTTGGATTCTTCGACATGGGTACCAAGCTTCTCTCACTAAGTGAATTACGACTGAATAGTGACTTCGATCCTCACCGGGTGCTCTATACTTGCGGCCTTGTGCCACATCGAAGCTGCGCTTACTAAATCACCAGGGAGCTTCAATGTGGTGTTCTGGTTAGTAAGCTTTCCTGACTAGGTCAATTACGACTGAATAGTGAGTTCAATCCTCACCGGGTGCTCCATACTTGCGGCCTTGTGCTGCATCGAAACTACGCTTGCTAAATCAGCAGGGCGCTTCAATGTGGTGTATTCGTTAGCAAGAGTGCCTGTCTAGATCAATTACGTCTGAGTAGTGAGTTCGATCCTCACCGGATGCTTCATGCTTACGGCATTGTGCCACATTTAAGCTATGTTTAGTAATCGATGGGTTCTTCAATGTGGTATAATGGTTATCTAATTTCTCCCTCTACAACAATTACGGCCGAATAGTGCGTTCGATTCTCACTGGGCGCTCCATACTTTCGGCCTTGTGCGACATCTGAGCTACTTTTAGCAAATCGCTATATTCACTTCGGTTCTTAGAAAAAGCCAAATTCAAATTCCTGTCAAGTCTGCTGAGTTCATTTCTGCACTAGGAAAAGGGATGAATCTATCATTTCTCCGTACACTACAGCTATGGGTCAAACAGTAGATTATTTAGAATTAAATAACACGTTAGCCTTGGTTGGCAAGCAGTCTAGGAGAAGGACAAAATCTGACTTCTAAACCGTGGAAAAATAGCGAGAAAACATTTCACTATATTTCCCAAAATGACAATCATGGCAATTCTCATGTAATAACGAAAAGGAATATGTGGAGAGCCATGATCGCCTGCCCCTAAAAGTTTGGAACACGATAAAATATGTTTAATTCTATAATTTTACACGAGTTATATAACTCATGCTCTGTATACTACGTTGTATTCCTTGGTTCTGGTCCGTGCTGTTAACTAATGGCCGTAAACAAACGATCTGATGATAGTAAGTAAAATTAAGATGAAATACCCGTCGGAAATTAATAATGACTGACATATATTGAAGTTGAAGATGACATATATTGAAGTATTTATATTTCGGCACTCATAAGAAGTTGCTATGCGGCTAAACAAAATCAACCAACCAAATAATAACTGACAATGCATCATTTAATAAAAATTCAGAATACTATTAACCCTACTAGTATAAATAAAACAACTAACATTATGAGGAAAGTAATGCTAGTCCAAAATTAATGAGGGCGAACTTTCATCTCATTAAAGTTTAAGATAATATTATTATTGCTTTTACGGCAAGTGTACGTAAAAACAATAACATCAAATATGGCGTCGAGCCATCGAGGAAAAATAAGGAATTATTTTATAAGGTTATATTCAGTCTTCTGCCAGCCTCCGGGCTGTCGTTGTTCAATCATGAAAGCAGCTGTCACAGTAAGATAGGCTTCCTACTTTCGGGTCTTGCTGAGAGCTTATTATTTATTTCTTTTCTACTAACGGTCAACAGGAAACCACTTTACTATATTTCCTGAAGGACAATCATGGAAATACATGGATAATAAAGAAAAGGAAACTGTGGAGTGCCATGATCACTTACGTCCTGAAAGCACACGTCATAAGAAATATTTATAAATTTAAGCATTTCGTTTCATGGATAACACAATAAAGTACATTTAATTCTATCATTTTAAACGCTTCTTATTTCTCGTGCTTGTATAGTATCCCAGAATGCATTTCTTTTTTAGAGTTATGTGTACGTAACGGTGGGTGCAATCTTAAAAATATACGATACGTAGATGAAACTGTGTTGATGCCAGACAGAGAAAGAAAACTAGAGGTCTTCATAGACAAGGTAGTGATGGTAAACGAGCAGAAAGAACTAATCATTAAATATACTGTGATGCATTGTATAGTAGTCAGAAAGTTGCAAAATTTTTAAGCATTTCAACCCTAGAATGTGGGAGTACAATTAGCGCGCAAGGGGTTACAGAGAGTGAGAGCAAGAGTAAAGAGGAGGGTTTGAGGAAAGGATAGATAGAAGGACGGGGATCAAGACCAAGGCATCAGAAGATGTCGATTGGCATTACATTTGAATATTTGAAGATTATAGTCATCAGAGAAGCAAGTAAGAGGAAGGGAGTTCCACTGTCGGGAAGTGCCGGAGAAGAAGCTGTTGGAGTAGAAGAGGTAGCTACATTTCGCTGTTTCGACAGTGAAAGACTGGGATTGAGATGCTAACCTAGTAGCACGCTTAAATTCATGCAGAGGGGGTTACAGAGAGTTAGAGCAAGAATAAAGAGGGTTGTTTGAGGAATTGATATACAGAAGGACGGGGATCGGGATCAGTGTATCAGATGTCGATTAAGTCGGTGGGGGGTGTAAACGGTAGTGTCAGAGCTATGCCGTCCGGCACTTCGTTCCTGGTAGGGCCACCCAAGGCGGACAGGTCTGACACACACGCCGGCTAACAAGGGCTCTGGTGAAAATCCAAGGAGCGTCTGCATCGGTAACCGGCGGCTTCTGGTCGTTCCTGTCTCTGCGTCTGTGGGAACCCCGCGGCAAGCAAGAACGTTATCCGAGTAGGCCTGGGTACCCTACTTCTGTAATTTATCCCAAGAATCTTCTTCTCACAACAGGAAGAAGCCGGCTCAATCCGCCCACGGTGAATGCCGCATCACACACACACAAGATGTCGATTGGCATTACATTTGAATATTTGAAGATTATAGTCATCAAGGAAGCAAGTAAGAGGAAGGGTGGGACCGAAGTGCCAACCTAGTAGCACGTTAAATTCATGCATTTGGGGTACAAGTGAAAGTAGCTCATCAGAGCAGTTGCCATGAAAATATTTGCAGAAAAGGCAAAGGGAAACCACAGCACGTCTGTAGGGACGAACGGTAAGTGTCAAAATAAAACAATTACAGAAGTTTAAATATGTGAGATGTGTTTGAACAGTGGATTGAAAAAGTGACGACGAAATCCGAAGTCACATTGCAATAGAAAAAAAAGATGCTTTCGAAAAGCTAAGCAAAGTAATAAGAAATAGGAAAAATTCGTTGGAGCAAAGAAAAGAGTCCTGAACTGCTATGTAATATCAATCATCCTATATGTAAGTGCATATTGGACAATCTTATCACAGATGAAGAAAAGCCTGCAAGTAAAAGAAATATGTTTCTACAGGAGAATGCTGAGAATAGCAGTGACGGATTGCGTAAGCAACAAATAAGTCTTTAAAAAAATGGAACCAAAAAAAAAAAAAAGACACTTGCGCTTAAAATAAGAATTTGATTGATTGATTGAATTGTTTTTTTACAGCTTATCAACCTTTTGTAGGTTATTTAAAGCCGGAAAATATCTTTCGATTGTAAGGATCTTTCGGAGATGATAAGGATTTACTGGTGCAAGTCCTACTATTTAACACATACTTTCTCAAATGATAATCTCGCGTAAGTAAATATAACGAACCTGACCGGAATTGGAACTTGGACCTCCGATTTCTAATGCAGTGTAGTTATTCATTACACTACCCGCACACCCCCTAGCATTCCCGAGTGGTCACTCATCTAGGTACTGACCAGTCTCTACTTTGCTTAACTTCGGTGACCGGACGAGAACCGTGGTTGAAACGTAAGCCCTCAGAATCAAATAAAGACACCTGAAATTTCTGGGACACATAACGAGGAAGAAGGACTTGGAGAATTTGACACTCACAGGACTTATCGAATGCAAAAGCGATAGAGTGCGGTAAACGATCGCCTTGACGCGCTTGTGTGAAAAGAAGACGGAAAGCGGCTTGGGAATGATATTAAACTTTACTCCGAACTACAAAGTTAGTCGTGGAGAGCCGCGATCGACCATGTCTCGAAAAAAAAAACTGAAGAAAAAGGATCTATTTTTTTTTTCTTTTTTTTTTTAGGGCGGAAGTTTATTAAGTTAGAATTCTTGTAGTATTCTTCCGCGAAGGCAGTGTTATTTTACAACGCGCCTCTATTCACATGTACAAACACGTTTTTGTTAACATCTCTTTTTGTTTCAATTATTGTTACATTTCTTCTTTGCTAACAATCTCTCTTTCATTAGACTGAATTCGTCTGGCATTGGCGACCGGAGGAGAGGATCACGGAATAAAAAAGAAAACGGCAAAGAGAGCTGATCTGGCCATAAAAATAATCCCAAAAGAAAAGACGCACTAAATCATTTGGAAATTATTTTAGTGAATACGTTTACACTCTTGTCCCGGTGTCAGTTTTGATTTGACGTCATAACCACAGAACTAACGACAATAAAGATTCTGAAAAGCAACTTTTGACATAAACTATTGTAACAACGTCGACCGGCGTATAAATACCTACTTCAAAAGGCGGCTATCATTATCTAGAACCTGAGATGACAGCAAAATGGAAAGTATTGAGGCCGGAGGTGGGGGGGGGCAGCAATTTTGTAACCGCTTCCTGTATTGAACCTCGACCTTGTGACATATTCTGTAACAATGTCGGCGCGTGCGTAAATACCTACTTCAGGCGGCGGCAGGGATCATTATCTAGAACCTGGGGTAACCCCGAAAATGTCAAGTGCCGCGGGGCAGAAATTTTTTCACCCCTTCCCATATTGAATCTCGTCCTTCCTCCACATGTTGTAATAACGTCGGCGGACGTATAAATACCTACTTTGGGGAGCTGCTGGGATCATTATGCGGAACTTGAGGTGATCCTAAAAGGGCAAGAGTCGACGGGGCATAAGCAATTTTTGTACCGCTTCCAACATTAAACCTTGACCTTGTGTCCCATACTGTAACAACGTTGACGTGTGTATATATACCTACTTTGGGTGGGGGTGGGGGTGTTGTCTGGAGTCATTATCAGGAACTTTGAAATAGCCCCAGAAAGAGCAAGTGCCGATGGGGGCTTGAGAAATTTTTTGAACGACTTCCTACATTAAACTTCGACCTTGGGTTGCATTTTGTACGACGTGGGCGTACAATTAAATAATACTCTAGATATTACCTCACTTCCAGGAAGGGACGGGAGTCCTTACCTGGAATCTGAAACATCTCCAGAAAGGGCAAGCGCCGATGGGGGCTACAGAAAATTTTTGAATGACTTCCTACATTAAATCTCCACCTTGTGTTGCATTTTGTATGACGTAGACATGCAATTAAAGACACTCTCGGCATTGCCTCACCTTCGGAAGGTGGGCCAGGGTCATTATCTGGAACCTGAGACATTCCCAAAAGGCAAAATGCCGAGGTGGCTTAAACATTTTTTGAACGATTGTCTAAATCTCACATTAACATTGTCCCTTGACCGGCGCCTGAGGTGTTTCCAAAAATGGTAAGTGCCGTGTGGGGTTGGGCAATTTTTGTTCCTTTGGCCCATGCTCCTACGACAATATTAACTTTTTATTATATCCTTTTTTCCTGGCTGTTTACTGTGGTAAGTTTATCAGCATAATTATCGGTATGCAGGATTAATTTCAGCTCGGAACTAATTTCAACTTGGAACTAATTTCAACTTGGAACTAATTTTAACTCGATTTGGGCTCAAATAAAAAAAATGACAATCATTTCAAAAAATTAAAGCACGTAATCGAAAAAAAAATCTATCAGAATAAAATCATATTGTGAAGCTTGGCACAAAGCTCATATCTTGTTTTGAAACTTTAATTTTTTTTTTTTTTTGCATTGTAATTCATAATAAAGTTCTCTATTTACGGATGTGACATCTGTAAAATCCTCACTACACAGATTTAAATTTCAATAAATCTGTGAAGTTTTCAACCAAAATTAAAATTCAATTTATTGATTTTTTTAAGTTTTGATCAATAGCAGCTTCTTTTGAATGAGTTTTTTTTACAAAAACGAAAAAAAAAAAAAAAACAGCTGAGCAATCTACAGTTCTTGCTACAAAGAACATTGGATTTTTATTGGATCAGATTTAAATGAATAAAAGCAAATAAAAAAATGTACCACTTTATTCATTTGCAAAGAAAAAGAATGAAAGTTGCAGAAATGATGAATTCTGAATTATCTTATCTACTAAGGATTTTTAATGCTAAATTAAAAAATTATAGCCAACTCATTGTATTTTGTTTGGGAATTCACGGAAATTGATAATTTTGATTTTAAATCGAGTTGAAAGTTCCGAGTTGAAATTAGTTCCGAGTTGAAATTAGTTCTGAGCTGAAATTAGTTCCGAGTTGAAATTAGTTCCGAGCTGAAATTAGTTCCGAGTTGAAATTAGTTCTGAGCTGAAATTAGTTCCGAGCTGAAATTAGTTCCGAGTTGAAATTAGTTCTGAGCTGAAATTAGTTCCGAGTTGAAATTAGTTCTGAGCTGAAATTAGTTCCGAGTTGAAATTAGTTCCGAGCTGAAATTAGTTCCGAATTGAAATTAGTTCTGAGCTGAAATTAGTTCCGAGTTGAAATTAGTTCTGATCTGAAATTAGTTCCGAGTTGAAATTAGATCCGAGCTGAAATTAGTTACGAGCTGAAATTAGTTCAGAGCTGAAATTAATTCTCAGTTGAAATTAGTTCTGAGCAGAAATTAGTTACAAGTTGAAATTAGTTCCAAGTTGAAATTAGTTCCGAGCTGAAATTAATTCTGAGCTGAAATTAGTTCTGTCACTCACCTGGTTTACTTCAAAAAGCTGGTTATGCTAAGGCTTTTTGGAACCAATTAACGATGTTGGGTCAGGATATTTCTGTACACACACACACACACACACACATATATATATATATATATATATATATATATATATATATATATATATATATATATATAAAACTAGCACCAACTTATTGCATTTTGTTTAGGAATTAACCGGAATTGATTTTAAATTAATTCCGATGTGAAATTAGTTCCGAGTTGAAATTAGTTCTGTCACTCTAATTATCATGTCACCAAAACTTATTCAAAAAATGTGACGCCATTACTCTAAAGAAGTGACGCCATTACTCTAAGGAAGTGACATCATTATTCAAACTAAGTGACTTTGTACTTTTGTTTTTGGCTACGTTGCGATCAGCCGTGTAGTTTTAACATCCGTAATGCATGCATACCGTAAATCTTCAAAAATTCACATTTCTGTATCTAGCGGTGGGAAGGAAAGATTTTTTTGTGCTGTTGCCAAATGTCAGAGAGGCCGACACACACACAAAAAAAGAAAGAAAAAAATGAATTGAAGACTAACAGCCGATTACCTGGAAGGCACCTAAAAATATAATGGTCTGCTGCACAAACTCGTACACGATTACTCTTCAGGAAAATGTCTTAAACATAGTCTGCTAATAATAGCGTTATTTACTTAGTCTGGCACAAGGCTAAATTAGATGAGCACAGAAGGATCGAATTCACTACACTGTAATAATAAGATTTTAGATACGCTATCTACTCATTATCACACCCTAAATCTACAAAGTTTGGTCCGTCAGGCACAAGGTTACATGAGTGAGTACTGAGTTAGTAATAATAGTCTGTAAGATAAGCTTCTTAACCAGTACCACATAAGGAGCGAATGTATTTTTTTTTTTTTTTTTTTTACTAAACTGCAAATATTGGATATTGGACTCACTATATTGTAATAATTTTCTGTCAGATGAGGTCACCAACGATACATGCGCAAGTTAACGTATGATAATGGTAATTGTAATATTAGCAGTCTCCTTGTCAATTATTTCCGTGACACCAGTGAAAATGGCTTACCTCCGGGACGAAAACGGATTCGGACGTGTCGAGCATGTAAAATAATCGCAAAAAGAAAATGGCAGCTTCACGCGACGTACATTTACAACAAATATTAGGTTGGTGCAAAAATAATGCCGTTTTTTGACGTTCAACTTCAAAAGATCATAACTCCTTTCATAATAAACTTTATTAATCGAAATAAGAACCATTAGAATCGACACATTTTTGCCAACGAAAAACAAGTTTATTTATCCCATTAGCATAGAAATCCGAAGTTCTGGAAGCGATGAAGTCATTGAAGGCCGATTCGGCATCATCTCGGCTTTTGAAGCATTTTTCGTTCAGATTCTGCAGGGTCAGTTGAGCAACATGCGGGTGAGCGTTGTCATGGAGGAGAATTGTTCCCTTCATATTGACCAATCTCGGGCACATACGTTGGAGCTTCTGGTGCATTTCGTCAATTTGTCGGCAGTACTTCTCCGCCGTAATCGTTTCGCCCAGATTCAAGAAGCTGTGATGGATGAGACCGGCCGCAGACCACCAAACAGTCAGCATAACCTTTTTTTGGTGCAATTTCGGATTCGGGAAGTGTTGTAGAGCTTCTCCGGCATCCAACCACTGTGCCGAACGTCGCCGGTTGTCGTAGAGGATCCGCTTCTCATCACACGTCACAATCCGCTCGAGAAGTGGGTCGTTTTTGTTGCGCAGAAGGAGCGTAGAAGACACCTCAAAACGACGATTTTTTGATTATCGTTCAGTTCATGCGGCACCCATTTATCCAACTTTTTTGACTTCCCTATTTGCTTTAAATGGCGAACGACTGTTGAGTGGTCGACCTCGAGTTCAACAGCAACTTCTTGTCTGGTTTTGCGAGTATCGGCTTCAATTAAGGCTTCGTTATCAACCGCAGTCGTCTTCATCTTCGAGGCTCTCGTCA